AGTTTCCTGGAGTCAGTTATAGTGAGAAGTCGTGATCGGTTAGGTCCAACCAGTCTAGTATGAGGATGGATGGATGTCCCACTGATGACATTGTTTGGTGGTCGCGCTAAATGCATCGCGAATCGTTAGAAGTCATAATTCTTGGACTGGTCATTGAGTCGGGTCCCAGTGACTGAATAGTATACGAGCTCACTGGCCTTGTAACTGGAAGCTCCTGGGTTCAAACCGTGGCGGTGGGTGTGGCTGTACTGATGATGATTCCTGAGCTAGGACGAAACAGCTGTTCAATACTTTCTATTAGCTTTCAGTGGTTCTCTAACTGTGATATAATCAATCCGTGGTCAAACGCGTAAAAACAAATCCAATCCTTGCAATGCAACCCTTAAAAATTTGATAAGTCTGGTTATATTTATCTATTTTAATTGATTGATTTATTTATTTTGATGACCGTTACATGTCCACTTATTGTCTGTGTATTCCAATAACACGGTCAGAATGTCTTTCAAGAGATGATTGTGTGGTTGTCTTTGTTTATCTGAGCGTTAGTCAGCCTCTAGCTCTTCTTTTTTGTTTCTATCCTTATGACAGTTTTCTATTCTATTCTTCTTCTTCTTTCGAGACACCCGTTACTTTTCTAAAGAAGTCAATCATACATGATTTATCCGTGTTATTATTATTATTATTCAGACTAAGAACAACCTTGACCCCCTAGTGAAGCAATCAATTCTTACTTCTTATTTTGTCTGGATAAATGCTTCCTTTTAAATTCATTTATTTATTCTCTATAGTTTGGTTTGTAAGGGTTAGTTATGTTTTGTCCGAGTTGCTCATGGATTGATATCAGTTAGAGGGCCGTTGAACACCACCCGGGAATACTGGACAGCTGTTTCATCCTAGTTTCAAGAATTATCGGTAGTACATAATCACTACAGGGGTTCGAACACAGGACCTTCTGGTTACAAGGCCAGCGAACTCGTATACTATTCAGCCACTAGGTCCCGATTCAATGTCCAGCTCATGAATTCTAACTTCTACCAATTCGTGATTCAGCCCGACCCCATTCGGTATACAAGCTTACTGGCCTTGTAACTGGAAGGTCCTGGGTTCGAATCCCAGTGGGTGCGAACTGCCGATGATTCCCAAATTTATTTATTTGTTTTATTATTCAGATTTTGATGTATGAGGTGAGGTGAGGTGTTCCATCGCTTGTAGATGTCTTCCTAACGTTTAGTAGTGATGATCACACCCAGCAGGGATATATCGAGGATTTCCTTAAGTGGGGATCGCTGAAGTTGAGCCCCCTTCCCCTTTTGCGACCTCAGTTTGTCCTTTTTTCTCTAGATCGTGTTATTTTCCGAATCTCTGCTGATGATTTTGTTTATTTAAATCGCCGGGTCGTTGTTATTTTTATCTTCATCATTGTAGTGATTTGAACAATGTTTAAATGTTTTGTCCTACTTTGAGACTCTTCAGCAATCTGCACCTATAAACGCGCCAGCAAATGAACCAAGAAGCTTCACGTTATGGGACTTAGCTACATTGATTTTTTATTTTAGCTTGATTCCACCGTATTTTTGGTACAGGCATGGAATTTTTCAGCATGTGATATCGGTAGCGCAAATTTTGCAGGTGCGCGTCGGCCGGGGATCGAACCCCGGACCATGTGCATGGTCGACGAGAGTCATAACCACTGGACACTAACTAGCATCATCATACAGATACGCTAAACAGACAGACGCCTGATGGTGAGTGCCAACAAGGACGAAACCTAGGTTACAGAATTCCTGTCTATGTCCTCCAGTCATCTAATGACAGTATTTGTGAGTTCACCATGATTTTTAAGAACCACCTAGTATGATGTAACCATATTGGTGTTCAATCAAAGCATCTCAATGCGGTTCTACAAGAGGTCAATCGCGAGTCTGGTAATATCTTTGACAGCATCACTGAGAGTGACACGGGTTCGTCTCTTAGAGGAGACATAAGCTTTTTCAAGATTGCAGATACGCCTTGGTGAGTGAGTGCTAACAAGCACAAAACTTGAGTCACGTTGTCCTTCCCCTGCAGATTGCACTACTCACTCACACACAACTTTCTTGCTTCATTTATATACATGAGTAAAAATTGATGACTAGACATTTGAATAAAATGAATATAAGATGATATAAGTATAAAACTTCGGCACTATGGTGAGAAAGTACATTCGGAAATAATAATACTATTAGTGTTATCAATCAAGTACAATCAGATCGGAAATAAGACGAGTGTTTTTATAGTCATAATGATAAGTAACTTGTTAGAATGTTGTGATGTGCTTGAATTGAAATAGAATTTTGAGACTATTGATTATCCTTCTCTGATTTGACTGACTGGTGGTAATAATATCTTCCATGCGCATCTCTGGTATTTACATTGAGTCACTTCTGTTGCGCATGTACTGGGTGTAGACTCAATGAACCAGGATTCCATAATCAAGGTAAACTACACACACTAGTGTTTATCCAATGCCAACACATCCTGCTAATGGATATATAGACTTTGATTCATCTCATCTGTTATCTGTCTGTTAAGTCAGGCTTAGTTAAGTGTTTAACAAACCGACTATTAACAAAACTAAGTAGCATAAGAAAAGACCTAAATGATGCAATAAGACAGATAGAAGAGGCGATGGTTGGTGTTAAGTAACTAACTATCCTATAGAATTCATTAGGAAGATCGAAAAAAGCCAAAATAAAAATAATTGTGAAACTAGTAATAATAACATAAATAAAAGAGAATATAAGTCATCTACATATAACGAGGGGACATCTGAGACCCTCCTTACGTCGTAGGTTTCTCAATAAAGCAGGAATTAGGGTGACATTCATACCTACAAACTCACTTAAATAGGAGAATCTTTGAAGGTTAAACGACCCTGTAGGTTGACCCAATTAGACAAAATAGTATAATTTACAAAATATACCCTGCAATGACTGTGAGTAAGGTCAACTACATAGGTCAGTCAAACTAGTAGATCAGGAGTAGTAAGATTATCAGAAAATAAGAATTTAGCGAAGGTTATAACGGATTGACTTACTTACTTTTACTTTACTTCGGCTATCTCCTACGGGAGGATGAGCCGGCTTCATGAACCATGAAGTTTCATGGGAATTGGGTACGAGTGATATCCCCAGCATCGCTCGGCCTTTTGTTTGAGAGTGCAGCTCTAGCCAGTGTGACAGCCAAGTGTGACCTACAAGGCAGTAGGAGTGGAGTAGGGAGTCCACTATCGATTGGCAGCCGGTGACCGGAGTCCGGTTCATACGCCTTTTTGAATGGGGCCAGACATCCAGGGCATCCAATAAGCCCTTTGTCCATACGTCTGCCGGTGAACTCCGGTGAGCTTCATACGCCAGTCGTTGGAGGTTTGGAATCAGGGTTTAGCCATCTCCCCTAGACTGTCATCCAATGGACAGTCAACCCGGTGAAGAGCGCCGGGCATCCGCTTTTGCCCTCTCACTTCGGTGAGAAACACCTCCGCCACGTGAAGGTAGTGAGTAGGACTTCCTCAGGAGAGGCTATGTAAGACGCACGGTCATATGGGAGCATTTCAAGAGGTGTACGGAGGGGTAGCTAGCCCGCAGCGCAAGACACCCACCCCCGACCATCCTGAGGCTTTGGAGGCTCGAGAAGATAAGTAATTTAGAGAAAAGCTCAGCTCAGTAATTGTGCTGCATGCATTAACACACAACCCAACAATGTAGTTGTTTGAGACGGAGTCGAAATTCTAAAAAGTAATACAACCAACTAGAGACTGAGAGAGAGAGAGAGGTTGATTTCAGTATCTTTGTTCATCGAGTGAATCGACATCCAACATATGAACAGCAGAAGTGACTCAATGCAAATACCAGAGATATATATGGAAGATATTATTACCACCAGTCAGTCAAATCAGAGGAGGATCATAAATACTGTTTAAATGTATTCAATTCAATTCACATTATAACATTCTAACAAGTTATTTATTTATTTTACTATTCAAATGTCTGATCATCAATTTTTACTCATGTATATAAATGAAGCAAGAAAGTTGTGTGAGTGAGTTTAGCCTTGATATGATGACGATGAGCAGTAGTAATAAATTATGCTCGGAACGTGGTCATCATCAGAGTGGTGTCCCAGTGGACCACATAGTTAACGTTGTAGTCGATAGGCACTTGACTTCATGCAATAAATTTGCTAAAGGGATTTTGTCTGACTTGGAGCATCAGCTTTGCCCTCAGCTCTCACCTTGCGTCTTCTCAAGTAGAACAAGAAGTAACTTTAGAAAACTGTATGCTCGAACGTCTAAGTATAGAAATTCTATGATACCATACTTGGAACGTATTTTATGTGATGAAAATAGTGTCAGGAAAGAATTAACCAAACTTTTTTCATCTAGTAAATAAACAATTCCCTCCATCCATCAAGTTTTACTTTTGTTATTTCTATTATATTTATGGTCCTGTTGCTTCCTTCTTTTTTTTACTCTCATAGTTGCAAACACCAACTTATCTCTATGACTGCTGTAATCTTTGTTTTTCCCCTCACCATATCATGTAAAGAGAACACTACACTCAATATTTTTAAACATGCTAGGATTTCTATACCGCATCGACAATACTGTGGGTAACAAACCCACGGCCTTTTTCACTTGATTTCTTATTTCTTATTACCTTAGCTGTTATCAATATTATTATTTTTATTTTATATGCTGCATGTTTTTGACATTACCCTTATTGTAAATGTGGAAAATTCTGTGTGATTAATTTTATTTATAATTTGAGGGAATTAGATGGAATATTGGGATTAATGCTGAAAATTCCATTCTGTATCACAAGTACTGTTTTTGGAATAAAGTAAATCATTATTATTATTATTGCTATTGTATGCTGTGTGTGTCCGAGTTTTTATCCTCATTTCACAATAATTGATCTTACTTGCATTACTGTTTCTCCTCCCCCCTTTTCGTCTACTTTTAGTTTCATAGTCATTCCTTAAGTATTCACGGTCAATCGGATAGCAATAATAATAATAATAATAGTCCTACTACAATCAATAAAGATTCTATTACATCAAAATCAAATTGGGCTCGTGGTTTATTTGAACGCTTGAGAGCTGCTTCATTGACAACATCAACGATTGATACAAAGCCATCATCTCATTCACCATATGCTACTGTTGGTCATAATGATTCTACACAACGATATAAAGACTATTATCCTCATCAAAATGCTGTCCATTTAACACCTGATTATATTGATCCAAAACGATTACCTAAAGTTCATGGTCCATTATCTAATTGTTTAGAATTCTCTAAAAAACCATTACAGAAATCAAATTATAATATCTTACATTCAAATACTAAACCAATTCCTGTCTCGTCAACACATATTGATTTTACGAATACCATGAATCTCTCGTCGTCGAATTCATCCTCATCGAATACACGGCGAAGAAGAATTCGATGGGTAAGCTTCCCCACACTGATGTTTCATTTTCTTTTCTTTTTTTTTAAATTTGTAATTATCCATTAATTATTTATTAAAATACTCAATAATTGAGCAATGAATATCCTTTTCGATAATTTCCTCCTGTTCTGGCTCTACAATTATGCACATATATTATAAAACAATTAGTCCCTTTGATAAATTTGAATAAGGTATTAAGAAGACAAATTTCGCGAAATGATATCGTCATTTCGTAGTTTCTTTACAACCGCTTTACGACTAACATGGTTGGTTCACAATAATAATAAAATAAAATGCATGAGAATTATTTGGTTATATAAAAACCAAAAGTGCATACTAATGACCAATTATTTTTTTTAATTTTTTAATTTTTAATTACAGCTTGATTCCACACTGTATTTTTGGTACAAGTATGGAATTTTCAGCATGCGATATCGGTAGCCCAAATTTTGCAGGCCAACCATAGATATCAGGTGTGCGTTGGCAGGGGATCGAACCTCTGACCATGTGGATGGTCGGTGAGAGTTCTTACCACTGTGCCACCGACGCACGTTATATATGAAATTTAGGTGGGAAGTGGTAATTTAGCCGATGAGAAATAATTTTCATTCAACTGGGCATTAGTCAATGCTGAGATCGATGAAGTTTTCCAGATGGTGAATATGTATTCAACTGGATGTATTTCTAAAACCTGTTCAAGATAATTTGACTCTTTACTATTATTTATATTGAACAGTTACTGAGATCAATATTGCTATGTTTTGTATAGAAGTGATATTCTATTCTACGACTAATTTTCATGCAATCATGAAGATATTGTAGAAATAACATCTGTGTGAAGTCAATACATTATTTCACATAAATGTTTGCTTGCATTTAATTTTCACTTTTCTTCGCCTTTTGTATCAAAATAGCACATACTACTCAAGTGCATTTAAGTTTTTCAACTGGAAGAAGACGTAAACCAATCAAGTTTACGTGAAACATTTGTGAATGAGTAATTAGAAATGTCAAACAGCTTCGGTAATTTAGACTTTAAGGGAGAAAAAACAGTTTTGTTCAAAGCGTTTCTCTTCAACGATTTCATTCCGACGAGGTGTATCCGTATTTGTATTTCTGATGAGGTGTGTTATGAGTAACACTGAGAATCGCTCACTGTACAAAGTACACACTGGACAAAATTAAATATAATCGATAATTAGAACAAACAGTTCAACGAGGAGTGCCATTTCGGTGAACTAACTCACACTCGGCTTTTAAATTTCAGTGGTGGTATGCAATATAATTTTGAATGTGTGTATCTTCAGTCTGCTCCATGGTAGAGGCGAAGATTGAAGTCTATTGTTTTTTCTACACATATAGTTTAGGATGTATGCGATTAATCCCCCAAAAGGGCTTCCATCACCTTCAATAACCAGCCTTGAATTAGAGTTATGTGGAATAATTGTGAAACAGTCATTAATATTGATTTTGTGACCTGACATTAATAAGTGTTTTGCAATGGATGATGCTGGATTTCTATTCAGATTAATTGCGTTGGGATTTTTTATATGATTTAGTAGCCATTTTGGAGCATGTTCTTTTCGACGACATTGGAAAATTCTGTTGGTTCTACCCATATGTGTGTGTGTGTCACCGCAGCTGCAGGTGAACTTGTAGATACAGTTTGAAGTAGAGTCCATAGAATTTCGTCGTTTAATCGTAGGTAGGTACAGGGATCGAAAATGTTGGGCAAGTGAAAAAAAGAGATTCGGCGGCGTAGAATGTGCGTTTGATGGATGACCGAAGTGTTTGAGCTAGGTGTCAGCTGCATAATCTGGTCACCCTTGAATATTAGGCTAATATAGATAGCTTCCTTTGGTACAGAAGCTGTCTTTTCGAGATGTCGTCTTTCTTTACTGTGACAAGTGATGACGTTTTCTGGATAACCATTAGCTAATAAAACTGAATGTGTGTGTATATGTGTCGAAGCTCCTGCATCAATGTATCACTCGTGCATATTTTTTGGGCGCTTGAGAACAAATATTTCACTAGTGGGGGAGGGGAACGTTTATACTGGATAGGAGCAAAACTGGTAAAGTGAAGATATTGTCCACTTCATGTCTGCTTACGAAAAATAGGTCGCTGAATCGTTCCATCATCTCTCCTGGTCATAGTAATATCCAGGAAACTGAGTTTGTGATTCGATTCGATTTCGGAAGTCACTCGGATATTCGGATGAAGGTTATGGAAGCACTTTTGGAGATTAATCACATACAGCCTAAATTATGTGTACAAGACAACAATAGACTTCATTCTTCGCCTACCATAAACTAACTACTTGACCTATCTAAATATGATTGCTCATTAGTATGTACTTTTGTTTTTATATAACTGAGTAATTGTCATGAACTTTATTATTGTTAACCATGTTAGTTGTATAGCGGTTGTAAAGAAACTACGAAATGAAGCTATCATCTCTCTCGCCTAATTTGTCTTCTTAATGTCTTATTCAAACGTATGCATATATATGCCTATGTACACAGAATATTCTAGATTAGTAATCAGTAACAATATTAGTGTGTTTTTTAAATAATATCGATTTGTAAAGTAAAATCACAATGGAATTACAGTTCATTAAAGATAATGTCTGAACTAACTTCTTTTAGATGCACAAATTTGGCTTGTTAATATGGATCCCAACAGCCAGCCTCAGCAATATGTAGTAGTCGAACTCTTAAGACGAAGTTTAAATTTGTTGGTGTACGGTAAAAATGACTTTGAAAGCTACCTCGTTAACATCAATCTTGTGTTCTGTATCCACAAGATGAGATAGAATAGCGCTACGAATAGATTTTGTTTGTCCTTTACTTAGCCACTTTGCAGAGTGATGTTCTGAAATTCGACGAGAAACACGCTTAATTGTACGGCCTGTATAACTGTTTCATTCCACAGGATCAGTTAAATTGGTAGATACACATGGAAGAAGCCGTTGGCTAGTTAACAATGCAACATTTAGGAATGTGTCGACTGTGTGTATTTCGAACCTGGACCACGTGCTAATATTGAATCTTGTTGAACGTGTTTACAGTTCCTTAGACCAAGGTAGACGTAGCTGTCAGCACTGTTCACTCTCAGTTGATTTCAGCTTGTCGAGGGCTATTGGCGATAAACCCTTGACCTCTGGGTTCCTTTCTGCCTATTGCTGAAACCGTGAAGTAATGAGTCAATATGATAATTACAGTTGTTCTCCAAGGTATTATCTTCAAGGGCTAATAATTCAACGGTGACGTTATCAGTACTGGTTACAGTACTGAATGACGAAATCTTATGATTCCTAGATGGCTGTGACACTTGTGCTTTGCCAATACGTACCAGCAAGAAATAAACTTGGTTTCACAGATAGACATGTTCAGTGCTCGTAACCGCCTAACTTATAAAGCGCACTATACAAATTATGTCGCATCACATTATCCTGCCACTATGGTTCTTTCTACGTCCTTTTTTTATGTCAGTCATTAGGACTAGTAGTAGAACTCTGGCAATATTATATTATTATTCTCTTGTGTCCTTCTTAGTGGAACATAGGGCATCAACAACACATCGCCACTTTGTTCTGTCTTTTGCCGTTTTCTTCTACGATTGCTATAATTTTTCATCTCCTCAAGCTCATATGATCACCTCTATGTCACCTACTCGTCGCTTCCTGTTGGGATCCCACTCGAACGATAGCCAAATGGTGGTGGCGCGATGTAATTCCACGACCTCTCCAACTTATGACTGATCCATCTCCGTTTTCTCCTACATATTTGTTGAACTATCGGCAGTTCAGTTGGTTTGTTTGTTTGCCTGAGCTTCTTTTAGCCAATTCTTTCTGACCTGCCATTTGATCTTTAGTATGGAGCCAGCGAAGTGGGAAGCTGTTGATAAAAGTCTGAAACAGGATGTTGGAAATCCTTTTCTTGACGGACGAGCAATGCAAGTTTCTGACCAGTATAGGAGCAGTGACTGACTGACTGACTGACTGTCTTCTTATTTGTGTTGAAAGTTCGAATTTTGTTAATTATGTTGACTGAGTGAGTGAGTGGAGAAGATTTCCAAGCTGGCCTGGCTGGCTCGCTGATTGGCTGGCTTTGACATCTTCATCCGTGCTGTCCGACTGCCTGTTTTTGAAACTCTGCTTCTTGACTCGATAAGGGAAGGTGTTACAACAGAAGACAAGGGCCAGTCAACAGATCGTTTATTCATGAAATCAACACATATTTATAGATTTTCATGTACATATTATAGATTATTGTTATCAGAAAAACACAGTCCTGTGATTGCTTGTTTCTCACAGAAAGTTAATCTTTCATTTGTTTGTGGCTGTTTCTTGAAGGTCAGATCATCTATATGTTAACTGTACTCGCCTACGCAAAGCCTTTGTTCTCATTTTTCTCACGACCAATATTAGGGACATAAACATTGACGTAAATTACTGTCCACAAATTTCGGCTTACAGCTAGCTCTCACCATAAAGGAAGTGACCCCAATCAAATCTCTCTTGTTGATGGTGATTGGTGCAGGTTGTTGTTGTTGTTGCTTTTGGTGGTACTTGGTTATCTTCATTACCTGCGTCTCCATCTTCTCTATGTTCTTCTGGAGTCCTGTCTTCGCCGTCTGCCTGCCGCATCCCTTCAGCCAGTTTGTTGATTTTCACCTTCCTGTAAAACTTCGAGTTTGTTCCCACATGTTGGTATTAGGTGGTTGGAGGCAATCGGCAGGAAGCCCATCCTGACCTAGGTTTCGTGCTAGTTGTCACTCATCAACAAGGCGTATCTGCAACCTTGAAGGAACTCATGTCCCTCCTGAGATTTGAACCCGCATCACTCAGTGCTGCAGTTAGAGACGTTACCAAGGCTTCCTGCCGATTGCCTCCAACCATCTAATACCAGCAATTCACAGTGAATCGTGATGGAGAGCCCACCTAGTGGCATGGTGGCCACATTGCAAGTTTGACTGATAGAATTCATTCTGCACCG